AACCTGCTAGGCACACGGGGGCATTGGCTCATTTCCTTCTTTTGGGGATGTCTAGTATCTCCAGATGTGCAGTGATCGCCGGGGCGCAATGCTCAAGATCTGAAAGGCGGATGTTAGGCCAATGGTTGGCGCCCGTGCTGTTTGAAGCGAGGCAGCTCTTGACTTTCGGCGGAGGCTGCGCAGGCTCACCTTGGGGTGCAATCCTCCTGGCGATCCTTCTGGCCTTTCTCTTCGGCTGTTGCTGTGGGGGCTTCTTTGCCTTGCTGGTTGTGTCTTCGAACTGCCGGCGGCTTCTGCAGGGGCTCCTCCGCTTAGTGTTGGCTGAGGTCTGGGCTGCACCTGCGGCAGCCTTGACCGCCGAACAGCGGTTGGCCGAGTACCGCCGTCGTGCATGAGCGACCCAGAGGCGGATCTGGAGGCCTTGACCATCTCCTTCGCTGGGTTGGATATCACCGTCCGGAGGAGTATCCCTCGGACCACCACCGCCGTCGAGGACGGCTTTGAACTCGTCGAGACTGCGCCTGCAGTCCCGACTCCTGCCTCGGAGGAGGCCGTGCTGGAGGCCTACTCGGCCAGCTCTTTGGCTGCTCTACACTTGCCTCAGCTGGTTCGGTTCTCTGAGCGGCTTACTGGTGCTGGGGGAGAGTGGACAGGTGCTGCTCGCACCGCTCGGGCCTACAGGGCTGGTCTTGGAGCCCGGCGCTTTTTGGCCGGAGGGCACAAGATCTCCTCACCACCTGCTCCAGGTCTCCGGAACGTCTACTACATCGTGCTGCGGGCGCCGGGCTACCCCAACGGCTGCTGGACGAGGAGCTTCCAGATCTACGCGGAGACAGTGCGAGCTCGAGGCGGACCTCGAGGATCTTTTGACAGCGAGAGCGCCTCGCACGCCTTTGCGAGCCTTAACGAGGTCGAGGCCTACCTGCTCGGCGCAGGCCGAGGATGGCCTCCGCAGCGAACATGAGGCGGGCTCTGACCCGCGAGGCCGTGGAGGCGCAAGTGGCAGGAATCGTGGGCGACCGGCCCTTGCCCCCTGCGTACCTGGTTTTGTCCGGCCTGGGAGAGGATGGGCGCGACGACTTCGCAGTGGCCTTCCTTCTGCGGTGCCGGGCCAATGGCTTCATGATCGCCGTGCCCAGCGTGAGTCGGATTCGGGAGTATGTCGAGGGACTTCTCACAGGCGACGGCGAGCCCCTGGCCCTTCTGCATCGAGAACAAGTACAAGCAGAAACCGTTCGCGGCCGCCACCTCGGGCCCTCGCACGTCTTGCTACTGGACTTCCCTTGGGCAGCTCTGGAGTACCTGGTCGCACCTCAAGCTCTACGTGGCATCTCAGACCGAGCCTCCCGCGTTATCACGCTGCAGGTTGGGACCACTCCCGCGCGGCCCTGTGCTGGAGATACGCTGGACGCTGCAGGCCGTTGGGTGGATCGCTTGGACCCGGACACTGCCCAGGAGTACTACGTCAGCGCTCAGGAGCACGAGGAGGCAGAGGAGCACATGGAGCAGGACGACCTCGCGCAACCGGAGCCGGAGCTGAGGCCGCCGGCGGGATCTACGAGGGCAAGGCCGACCACCCCACTTGCTGCACCGGCTGGAGGGCAACCCGCGCCAAGGACGGGCGCACTCTTCGGCTCCGCCGCGCCTTTGACTGCTCAGGAGATCACAAGGCTCCGCGCGCTGGCCGGTGGGGCCCCCGCTCGGACGGGCAATGTGGAGAGGACCGCCTTGGTGGGCGGCGTGGGCCCCATGATCGAGGACTTGCATGCAGAGGCGGATGCGGAAGCCTTACCACCGGCAGATGTCGAGGACCCGGCCCTGGAGGCCGAGCTGCACCAGAACCCAACCTTGCAGACCCTCCTTTTGGCACAGATGCGGCAGAACGCCCTGCTCCTTCAGAAGCTGACCTCCAGCCGCACGGGCGACGGGATTCAGGACGCGCTGTCAGGCGGCGGGGCCAGCGGAAGCGACAGCAGCTCGGGCATCAAGGGGCATCTGGCCCGCGAGGCCTTCTTGCGCCAACTGGCCGACAGCCGCGCGGTAGCAGCCAAGGTCCAGGCGAGCGCCTTGACGGAGCTGGGCCTCGCCACACCGGAGCCGGGGCTCATGAGGACTTACATCGAGAAGCGGCTGCCCCTGAACGACCAGAAGACCTTGCAGCACGTAGCCTCGATGGCGGCGTTCGGCTGGGAGGCGGGCTTCAAGAGCGACAACCAGGAGCTGATGGCTTTCGCGAGCAGGTTGCTAGTGTTTTCGGAGCAAGTTGCCCTGGACTCCGGCCGAATCCAGTTAGGGTACCTTCTGGCAGGCTTCCCAGACCCGACCCCCCTAGGGTTCAACAGCCGGCGAGTCCCGGGCCTGCGCACCTTCAGTCGTCTAGCACCGGCCCAGTGGCTAGCCGCAAACTTAGCATATCTAAAGGATCTAGATTATGCCGAGAGCAGGATCGCACAGCTGGGCACGGGCCGGCCAGCTCCACCACCAAAGGTTCCAAACGCTCAGGAAACCGCCGAGAGCGAAGAGGGCCAACCGCCCGCTCGCAGGCCACCGCGTCGGCCAAAGAACGCCACTCAGAGTGCATAGGGGTTACTGGTAGGAGCCTTGCCCGCCCTGGCCTCGGAAGTCATGATAAGTGTTTTCCAGAGGGCCGCCGCGGAGCTTCGCCTTTGCCTGTTTTCGATTCGCAGTGTACAGACCTGATCGACCCCCTTAATTTAGCGACCCTTTTAGTTAATTCCTTTTTCGGTTCTAGGACGTGCCTTGCTGAGTTCACCAGGGATTCCCTTAGGACCCGCGCCTGCACCGTGGAGATCAGGTCTGTCGGGCCCGATCTTTGGCCAGTCCCACCACCCAGGTGGCGATGGACAGGCTGCACCCGCGGCGGGAGCCGTGCTCGCCGACGTCAGCGCAGACTCCGAGTGCGCGCCCGCATGCTGCAACTAGTCATCTGTGCTCTTAACTGGGAATGCCTAGGTCACCCCACTCGTGCGCCTACTGGTGCCCGTATCGGAGACCCTACCTCAGCCTCACAGCAGAGAGTAATAGATCACTTGGAGTCGCAGCTAGATCATCTGCTCCGCGTGCCTTCCTTCATTGCGGATGACTTGGGCCGAGCCGCGGATAAATTAGCTAGCCTCTCTCAGGTTATAAAGGAACTGCCCCGAGACAACCTCAGGGACGTGGACCTTCTTGATTGGGCGGCTACTTTGCACAATTCCTTCTTTCCCTACGAGCACCCCTAACCCCGCGATGTAGATACAGAGCGAGCCGGCCCGAGCCATGCTTCCTGTCCGCCTGAAGCGGTGAGCGCACCTCAGCAGCCAGTTCGTTTTATCAACTTTCGCACCGGGACAGCTCTGCCAGTCACCGCGAGCCGCATTAAGTGGAGCAGCCCTCCTAGCTTCAACCCGGCCCCCTACTTGGACCCGACGCTTAGGCATGCCTTCGCCAACCCGGAGTTTCTTAGAAAGCCCCCAGGTGACTGGCCGAAGCTTCCTCCCGCTCGCATCCATTGTTCGCGTGCCGAGTTGCTCAAACTTGGGGAACTGTGGGATAAGATGGGTTCAGTTAGGATCACTCCGATTGACCAGGTTGATTGGAATGAAGCTGTCGGCATCTTCGCCGTATCGAAGAGCGCTGCCAGAGACAGGTTGATCATTAATCCCTGCGTAGCGAACTCACGTTCCCAGACCATCTCTAGGTTCTCTAAGTCTCTTGCACCAGGCTGTCTTCTGACGATGCTTTCGCTCGAACCACATTTGGGTTTTAGGGTTAATGCTGACGACCTCACAGACTATTATTATACCTTCCAAGTGACGGAGAAGCGTGCCATCCGAAACAGCCTGCGCTGTGCTTTTGCACCGTCTGAATTGGCTCACTTCGCTGCTGCAGAAGGTTTAGTTCTAGAGGGTCCTCAGGTTTTATCCTTAAATACGATGGCTATGGGCGACAGTTTAGCCGTCGAAGTGGGCCAAGCAGCTCACTTTCAAGTTCTCAGACAACATGTGGGTTCGCTTCTGCCTCACGAAACATTGTTGTATTGGCATCCGATCCCAAAATCGAACACAGTCGAATTGCTTTCCATCGATGATCACGTGAGTCTTCAGAAGGTTCCACTTGTTGAACTGCCGCTTGACCCGCCTCTTTTGGACACTGCCATCTTCAGTGCCGCTTCGGTCGCATACAAACATACGGGGCTTGTGTTGAACGATGACAAGAAACGTCGAAACTTGACTCAGGCTTGTGTCTTAGGCGCCGAAGTGGACGGCATTCGAGGGCTTGTCGGGCCGCCCAGAGACCGTGTGCTGAGCCTTGCTCTACTCAGCGCGTGCCTCGCGAAAAAGGGGTACGCCACAAGAGAGCTACTGGACAGAATCGTCGGCTGCTGGGTACATGCACTCATGTTTCGTAGGCCAGTGTTTGCTGTGATCGATGCCCTTTTTCGCGAGGGCATGCATCTGCCAAGGAATCAGGTTTTCAGGCTATCGAGCCAAGCCCGCAATGAGCTGCAGATGTTAGCCTGTTTGGCCAGCACCCTTGTTTGCGACCTGCGTGCAACCTATGACCCCCAGCTTTACTGCCTTGACGCCTCACCTTACGCCGGTGCCGTCTGCGCTACCACTGTTGGCTCGAGTACCACGGCTGAGCTGTGGAGGCACGGCGAGCTTCGGGGTTACCACACGAGGTTGGAGTCCACTGTGTCTGCTCTGTTGACCGAGAAGGGCATTAGTCATGAGGGTGAGAAGCTTTTTGGCGACTGCACTGCTGCCCCTCCTGAGTTTCAACATCAGGCCCGCTGGGACCCTTTCGTGCCACAGCCTCTCCGTGAGGGCCTCTTGTATGATGCCATTGTGTTATGCACACGCAACGATTCTTGGGGTCTCGCTTTGGAGAGTTCAGGGCTTAAGGTTCTTTTTGCACTCGGAGATCATGGCCTGTCTGCTGTCTCTGACCTGTGTGTGAGTGCTGCCACCGCCCGGGAGCTGATCGCTCTCGCAGCCCGTCGCGTCGTGCGCGAGTGGCACTGCGCACTTTCTTGGGCGGGGCTTGGCTCTTTGCAGTGCGGCGGCCGGGAACAGCAGCTTTTGACGGGGACCCGCTCCGCCAGGCGCATTGGTTTCGTGATGGCTGTGGCTGTCCGATGTGGACAATTTGTGTCCATCGAGCAGCCTCGCAGGGCCCGCACCTTCGGCCTAGAGTGCTACCGCACTTTGGCTCAGCTGGGCTGCATCCTGACTTCAGTCTGCTATTGCAGCTTCGGCAGTCCCTACCTTAGGGCCACGAACATCATGCACAACAAGCCTTGGCTCTGCAACCTCGAGAGCTGCTGCGGTTGCTGCCGCCGCGGCGGCCCTGACAGCGAAGCTCAGCACTGGCCTGGCGAAGGGGTCTTCGACCTTCACGGCATAGCCTCCTTCACTTCGGCCTGCCGGCCCAGCCTTGAGCGAGTTTACAGCCGGGAGCCTAAACTCGGGGAGAGTTTTGCTTCCTTCGGTGCAGTGCTTCCGCTCGGTCTGTCGACGCGGATCAGCGCGGGCTCCCTTGCTGCTGCGCGTGGTTTCGTCCCGGGCGTGCCGCTGGAGCTGAGACGCCGTGCTGCTCGACGTTTTGAGATCGAGTTGGGGCTCGAGCTGCTCGACTCCTGCAGCCACGAGGCAAGCTTCCCTGCAAGGGACTGGCACGAGGACCCTGAGTGGATCAGTGAGCTCTGCCGCTCTTTGCGTTTTCACGAGCTCTTCCGATATGCCTTCAAGAAGCCTGGGCACATCAATGTCAACGAGGCCAGGGTGTATAAGACTTGGGTTAAGTCCTTAGCCCGCCGCTCCCACAACGTCCGCGCTGCAGCGCTCTTAGATTCCCGAGTGACGATAGGAGCTGCTGCAAAGGGTCGCTCTAGCAGCTTTGCCATTTCTAGGATCCTCCAGGGCTGCCTCGGTTACGTTTTGGGCTCGGGTATTTACAACAGTCTGCTTCATGTTTACTCGGGCGATAATGTAGCTGACAACCCTAGTCGGGGAAAGGATGTTGCAGAGCCTTCGCGTGGTGAGCCGCGTTGGTTGCAAGAGCTGCGCGCTGGAGACTCAGCGGCCTTTGAAGCAGTCACTTCATCTGCGCGCATACCTCGGAATCCTGCTCGGTGGCTTCGCTTCTTGCTGCTCCTCGCTGGCGACATCGAGCGGAACCCAGGCCCTGGACCTGTTCCGCCGACGCCGCGGGGACCGCTGGATCTTCACGCAGGTTTCGCTACGAGCACGGCGCAGAAGATGACTAAGAGCTTTGCTGGGTTTAAGGCCTGGATCGTCGAGCACGTCTGCCAGACCCCGGAGTCCGTGTTCGCCAACGCGGAGACGACTGCAATGGCTTTGCGAGCCTACGGGCTTCACCTCTACCAGGAAGGTTTGCCAAGATAGGATGCTTTTCCACAGCATCGCAACTACCTTACCGCGGCATGGCAAATTGATAAAAAATGGCAAAGGGCGGAACCTGGAGAGTGCCGCCCAGTGCTCCCTGTTGCAGCTGTCCGCGCCTCGATCAGCGTTGCTCTTCTCTGGGGCTGGAACCGTTGGTCTTGCCTGGTGATCATCGGGTTTCTGGCCATGCTTCCCCCGAGCGAACTGGTGCTGCTGCCCCGTCGTGACTTGGTTTTTCCGGCGGACAACCTGGGCCACACTACAAGTTTGTTTGTGCACTTACGGAGCCCAAAGACGAGTCGCTTCGCGCGACGTCAACACGGCCGCATCGACGATGCCGCAGCGATCGCTTTCCTCTTTACTATGGTTGGCGGCCTGAGCCCAAACGATCGCATTTACCCTGCCTCTTTACACAGCTTCCGTCGCCAATGGGACGCCGTGCTGGGCAGGCTGGGGTTGCCGGTGCGCGCCGCGGACCGAGGAGCGACGCCCGGAGTCCTCAGGGGCTCCGGCGCCACGTGGTTCTACATTTGCACTGAGAACATTCCTTTGTTGGCCTGGAGAGGCCGCTGGGCCCGTGTCAAGACGCTCGAATATTATTTGCAAGAGGTGGCAGCACAAGTTCTTTTGGCTGAGCTGGACCCGGTTTGCAGAGCCCGGATTCAGCTCCTTGACAAAGCCGCTGACAGTCTGCTTTGTCACTTCTCTGGTGCTACGCAGTATTGAAGGATTGGAAGAGAGGGACATGTCTTTTCGGAAACTCTTTATATTTCCTTTCTCTTCTGCCAAGCCATCGACCGGTGCTGTCGAGGAACTCCGGCAGGTCATGGCTGTGCTGCTTCGCAGCTCCGACTTGGGACTCTTTGAGACTCGGCAGGCGAAACGAGGGAGATGTCTAGTATCTCCAGATGTGCAGTGATCGCCGGGGCGCAATGCTCAAGATCTCCCGCCCTCCCGCCCTGAGGGCGAAGAGAGGGACATGTCTTTTCGGAA